TATCTGAGCTTGAGCTTCATTATCGATCCTTCCAATGAGCAATCAGGGTTGATTTCCTTAATGTCTGGTATATCTACAAAGTTCTGGTCACTGTGCATCTAAAAAAATGGTAGAGCTCAAAAACATTAATTTTGCTTTCCCCTCTTTCATCCATGAGTGTATAACCCACTGTCCTTAGTTGAAAGAATGGGCAGGTTCAATTACTTTTATAATATGATTCCAATGATTGCAGACTGTACATTCATTTTAAAATGTTATAATAGTAATACTGATATACTAGTATCAAATAAATAACAAATGCAAAAAAAATCTATAAGTTTAAAATCTATAGTTGAGCAGCATGAAATATATAGTCTTATATATTCTTTAAATAAATAAATGATACCTGACTCTGTGCCAGCAGATGACCTTGCCCAGTTACTCATGTAGATGTTGCATAAAAATGGGAAGAGGACTGAGTCTTGTGGGATCCTGCAAAACAAGGATTTTGGGCTGGATCTTTCCCCATTTACCAACACAAGCTGGAACTGGCCCTGAAGGAAGAAGGAGAACCACTACAAAACAGTGCCCCCCAACTCCCCACCCCTAGAGGTGGTCCAGAAGGGAATGCTGCCAAGAAATTAAACAGGACCAGGAAAATCATACCATCACAGGACAGTCAATGCCATCTCAGTGCAGTACTCAGACCCAAAGCCCAACTGAAAAGGGTCCAAACAATTTGCTTCCTCCAGGGTTCTCTGGAATCATGTACCAGGGAAGATTGGAACCCAGTCAAAAATTATCCAACACTGCTGGGTCTGGTGAATGCTTCCTTAGAAGAGGTTGCCCCATTGCCTCTTTTGAAGCAGACCAGGTGACCACCTCTCTCAAAGATGAATTAACTACCAATTGAACCCAGCTGTTTGTCACCTCCTGAGAGGCCTTAACCAACCAGAAAGGATGTGGATCTGATACATGGGTGCCAGCACTGACTTCCTTGATGGCCCTGTCCACTTATTGATTCACAAGCTCAAACTACTCTCAGATAATAAGAGAAGACCCTTTCCTTCAAGGCCAGCAAATAAACAAACAAGGGGGGGGGAAACCCTAAGTTTAAAATCTATAGTTGAGTGGCATCAAATCTATAGTCTTATATATTCTTTAAATAAACAAACAAAAGATATCTAACTCTGTGTCAGCAGATGACCTTGCTCAGCTATTTCATGTAGATGTTGCATAGACATGAGAGGATTGAGCCCTGTGGGATCCTGCAGAACAAGGGTCTTGGACTAGAAACTTGTCCAGCTAAGACTTGTACAACTGGAGTTCTAATCTTAATAAATCTCAGCAACTTTTATTCATTAGTGTTCCTTTTCCAAGGTCATCTCCATATTCCTTTATATTCACCTCCTGCCCTGGGGTTGCAATTGATGCCAAACCCAAAACCCAGGTGGGCACATTGTCAAGAGATGAACACCTCCCACTGTACACAACCAGGTTTCAGTGATACAACCCTGTTTGGCCTTCTCATCCATGGAGGGGCTCAGATGAGAAGGACCAATCTGGCACTGATAATGAGATAATGTATCATGTTG